TGTTTTACTTGCATGTGATGCATATAGTAAACTAGTAAATACCCCAGAAATGACAGAGCAGTAAACATGTCTATACACACGATATGTGTGTCTTTGCTACATGTGTGTATATGTCTGTGCATGTATTTGTCTGTGCATGTATTTGGCAACCTGGTTCCAAGAAAACTTCTAATTGCATCGTTATGTTATGTTATGTTATGTTATGTTATGTTATGTTATTATGTTATGTTATGTTATGTTATGTTATTATGTTATGTTATGTTATGTTATGTTATGGTATGGTATGGTATGGTATGGTATGGTATGGTATGGTATGTTATGGTATGGTATGTTATGGTATGTTATGGAAAGTGTTAAAAATTCAACAAAATGAACAAAGTTGGCACCGCAAAACAATTTAAATTTGATTGAAAATAAAATGATTAATTTAAATTATTTGTCGTTTGGGTGTCTACAAGGCCACTATTGGCACCACTCTCACAGTTGAACCTTATATTCACACAAACCTTTGTAAGAAACATATCACTTGAAGCCAGGCTGTCCATGTAAACAATAATTATTTAACACATGGGGTCTGCACCAATATTTCCTTGAAGAATATGGCGGTAAATATGGAGTCACGTATTAATTGTGGGTTTTACTCCTGGGGTACCTCGGGTGACGACAGCAATTACACCCAGTTCCCTTTCTCTTTATTCCACTTATTTGCCATTATTTCTTTATTTTGGTAAACTAAATAGGCTAAATTAACTCAGAAAAATACTTTTCTAGTTGGTACCAGTTTTAGGCAAATTAGGTAGCGTACATACCAATGTTGTCAATTTGAGGTTTACCGAGAACCCACAGGATGCTTTTTTTATTCTCGCCTCTGTAGCTTCTGACCATTATGGCGGACGTCACGTGACGTTCCAGGTTATCAACAAACTTTTAAAAATTCTTTGGCTCATGTTAAAAAACCCGTTCCTTGTCCGTATTAATGCGTGTAAATTAGGAGTAAACTTATGGCCCTTCTTTAATTCAGAAACAAGTCACACCTACTGACAGTGGGCAACAAACGTCCCCTCTTGACCAATTTTCTGGCCGAATCGAAACTGAAATTTGACCACATAAAGCGTCACTGTCAGCTGTACCAGGACCAAGGCCACAAAGTTCAAGTACAAAGGGTATGACGTCATTATCGCCAGTTCTGACGTCACAGGTTTTAACCCGGCTGAAGGTCTTCCAACCAGTGGTCGAGATGTCTTGTTAACGTTTCAAATGTCGAGCAGAGAATGAAAGTAAACCAGTTTGGAGTAAATTATAATTCTTCAATAGACGTATCCAAGTTTAGTGCGTGGCGGAAAGACGAAGTCCTTATTTTATGTTGGCTCGCATTATCGTGATAATAGACCATCTGTTCATACCTTTTTCACATTCCTTCATTCTATTGTCCAAATATTTATTCATAGTTACTCATTTATACATAGATCTACATAGTTACTTCTATATTTACTCACTCTGTTCAATTGCTTGACCTTTTTCATACAGTCGTTATAAATAAGGATCCTGTTGTCTACACACCAAGTATTCAAAACATGTAATAGACTATTCAAATCATCTGCCTATTCTGCAAGCAAAAAAGATCATCAACACAAATACCAAAACCAGTTTCATTTAGCTTGTCAAGCAAATACTTCATAAAAAGGTTTAACCGAGTTGGCGAAAGTAAACATCCTTGTTTTAAACCCCGATTAACATTAAACCAGGGTGTATGCATACCATTTATACCACGCTGCATTCAGATATAAAGATTGAAGTGCAAGAAACATTTTCCCTTTGACAACAATGTAACTTTATTTCTCCCACAGCACACCTCTGTTAATGCTGTCATGCGATTTATGAAAGTCAATAAAAGCAGAAAAAAAGTGTCTTTTTTAATACCTTTTTTTATTTAAAATTAGAACACAGAGTGAATATGATCCGTAAGTTGATCTTGCGGAGCCAATTTTGTGCATCTTTTAGAGCTCCTGTACTTTCAGCCCAACATTGCAGAAGGTTATTTAAGATATTACAATATACATACATTGGTGAGGGTCAAACCTCTCTACGATAACGGATCCGGTTGGATCTAAAATAGAACACTTTCGTATGCAGGTATTTCCCCTGTGCTAAAACAGATATTAAAAATAGTGTGCATAGCCGAAATACCATTTTGTTATTTAAGACATTCCATCCGGATACCGTAAACACCAGGAGCCTTGCCACCGTGACTTCTAAGAACCGCTCTAGTTACTTCAAACAGAGTGATTTTAGCGTCGAACAACACACGTGTCAACAGTCTCACTGTCACGCTTGACATTCTACATCCTGACGTCACCATTCAACAGTTAACAAAAATCATTCTTCGACTTATCTAGTACATCACTCCATTTCTCAGACACATTTCCATCGTCTAGAACCACTCTCAAAGGGGATCTGTTTTCGTCTCTCCCCACCTACCCCAATTTGACCATGTTCTTTCCGAGCTCTCTATTATTATCCTCACCCATTTTATCCAACCGTTTACTTTCCTCTCTCGCATGCATTCGTTTGACATGTCTATCGTGAATATTCTACATCAGTGCCATTGATGCTTGGGCATGCTAACACTCCCCCCCCCCCCCCCCCCCCCCCCCCACACACACACACACACACACACACACAATTTGTATATTCCCGCGCATTACCACAGCTTTAACTCTACCAAACTGTTGAGGTAGAAGCAGGAAAATGGCAAAATCTATTTCATGTGTGGTTGTAGCGCAGGCGGTAGCGTGTCACTCTCACATTACTACGTTTATGGGTTGAAACCGGCTGTCTCTCTTTGGTTTTTAGATCAACTTTTATAGAAATATACGTACACAGCTGAATGAATCGTTTACCTGTCCTTAAATAAAACATGAATGGTGTTCTTAGAAAACAAAAGTAATACAAAATCCTTTGTTTGCTAGACCTCACACCTAGGATCAGGCTTGAAGCCGCCGTATTCAACTTGGTTTCAGGCGCTTCACTCAGTTCAGTTCAGTTCAGTTCGGTCATATCAACAACTCTTCTCACCACAAGCACAGGCCACTGGGGGCGGTAAACGGCTGATTTAAAGATATTTCTCTGGCGCTTCACTCACTTTAGTCATATGAACATCCCCCTCACAAGGACAGGCCGCGGGGGGCGGTTAACTAAGTCAGTGAGACGATGAATATGCCTGTCAGCCCAGCCCAGCCCAGGGGGATGGGGGTGTGTGGGATGGGGGTGTGTGTGTGTGCGTGCGTGCGTGCGTGCGTGCGTGCGTGCGTGTGCAACATTGTGCAACATTGTGCAACATAAACCAGAGCAAAACTGCCATTCAGCCTCCCTGCCATGCTGTATGAGTTTTAGTCACTAATACAAGTTAAATACTGAGAAAGACTCTGCAACGTGTTTCGAAGTGACATTCTGAGAGAAGTATGTCTTTAATCAGTTCGGTAATCCATTAATACAACATGTAGTGCTGCTTGTACCTTGACCTCCAACAAACCTTCGCTTGGCATGCCTGTAGGCACAGCACATGTGAACACGTTAATAAATGTGTGTCACGAGTTTAATAGTTGATCATATAAAATGTTCTGACAAAATGACCGATAAAGCGCAATTCATATTTTATAGTTCAAAATGTGCGCTGAGAAATGGTAAGATCTATATACATATACCACATAATATTGCACAAATATTATTTATACCCAACGAATAGAGTTGCTCTTTCAGTCTTCGAATTTACCAATAGTATCTGTCTTTGTGGTTTAGGCATCGTTTGCGTATTTACAAAACTGGAAGTATCATGCAACCTGCAACGTACGTGTGGTATTCCATTTTAAGACCCCGGAAGAAAACCTGGACTGGTGGTTAACGGGGAATGTTGCGGGCTTATAACCTGCAAACAAATCATCCCATGGCCTGACAAACGATCCTGTACACACATAAGCTAGAATGTATTATTTAACACAGCTAATGTGGCCACCAGTAATCTTAGTAATCTCGCGGTATATCCGAACATTTATTTATAGAAAGGGTGTTTTCCAGACAATTCACAACCGTCGGTAAATCCCCTTTTGGGTACTTTGGGGTTCCTTCAGAAGTGCTCATGCCTACAGTTTTTGTCCGCAGTCACTTGGCACTGCCCACTTTGGCCCAGAGGCTCCTTCAGTGGGTGCAAACCCCCCTTTTAGGAGGAACTTTTTTTTAAGGAACTTCTTACTTATTCCATGAACCCCCAACTCAACTCTCACCCCTCAACCCTCGCCAATCCAATCCCTCCATTTTCATTGACCGACTAATCGCTTTGCTCCCTTTATATTTTTCGGCCTCGATTACCCGGGCCCCGCTTTCACCCCGCTTTCACCCCGCTTCTGCCCCGCTTTGAACCCACTATTGTTTCGCTTTCACCTAGAATTACGACTAATCGCTTTTCCCCCTTTCCGTTCTTCTCGCTTTCACCCCGCTTCTGCCATTTTAACACGCTTCTTCAAAATTCCCCACTTTCACCTAGAATTACGACTATGCTTTCAAACGCAATTAACTTAACTTGACTTGTCCTATCTTTCATTTTATCACATTTTTGTCATAAAAAATAACTACAACCAAATTAAAAAATAAAATACAATTTTTCAAGTCAATATATTAAGTCTACTTCCAGTCAATATACTTCTTGCAATTGCACGTGTGTGGCGTATTTAGTTCTTGCTTTTCTTGCTTTTCTTGCGAGTTGGTGCTTTAACTCTCTTTCGAATTGTCGGAATTTATTTTACAACTGTCTTCAGGTTTTATACCCTTAATTCTTTACCTTCGCATTTTCTGTTGTCTGTAAAACAAATTATTACATTATTGTACTTTATCTTTTGCATTAACAAATAAAGGAAATATATTTTATTTATCATACATGTTGTTCCATTTTTCTTCTTCTTTCCACTTTTCACACAAAACCACCACCTGACTACACCGGTTACACAGAGAGCATCTGGGCTTTGCACCGACCGCCAAAAAACGCAGTTTTGACAGCCGGCACCAAGCCACCCGGAAGGAAGCGGCAAAGCACCAATCACAAGCCAGATAACTAATGCCAAAGGCCGTCGCGTCCTCCATCGGCTGGCCATGGCGGAGCACGTTTCTGATTGTCCTGGCATCACCACACCCAAGCGTGCTCGCTCCGTCTTGTCGCATTTCTATCGATGGTGGAGACGACGACGACGATTATGCACATTCATCTGGAGGTAAGTACATTCGTATATTTCGCTCCACATCTTTTATTTCTCGCACAGAGCGGCCATTCCGTCAAACAGGGACGAAGCTTGTTCCAAAGCTAGTTCTCGCTTAGCCAATTGCAAGTTCTCCTTTCATCACAGAAAATGTCACCTGTTTTGGCCGCTCCCTGGTGCACGTTGCAAGTCTTTCCGTGGCGAAGAAGTAGGCAGCGTCATTCCTGTATTCTTGTATGTATGATAAATGCGTACCTTCACACACTGACCACGCCCTATAACAGTGTATGCAACTACCGTATTTCATCCGACAAACAAACTGCACTTTATTATCATTAATCAATATACACCATTCATTGATCCATTTGTTTGTCTTTACTCCATTGCTGCTGTACAGGACGAACCGATGTCACACCCCCCCCCCCCCCCCCCCCCGGCCCTCTCCCCCTTGGCCCCTCCCCCCCTTGGCTCCCCAACCCAATCCTGTCATGCTGCATAAAATGCAAAGGAAACAGTTAATTGTATCATCGATTATTATTCCTTTAACATCTGCCATTTTTTTCTTCTAAAACCCTGACCTTAAAGTCAATAACATTGTTGACATTGGTCTCTTTGTGTTTCCACTTGATTGTAACCATGGTAACAGTTCTGTAATTTTTCAAGTATCATGAACCAATGAAAAGTGACATTTATTGAAACCTTTACATCTAAATTTCCAAGAAATTGATTTTTGTGTGTTGGTTTCCAAGGTATCAGAGTGTTAAGATTTGTAGATTAATTATGGTTAATGTTGTTTTGGCTGTGAATCACTTGTGCTCATGGTGTTGAACATTGTTGCAGTCCTTCATCAATATGGCTCTGTGGCCGCCGACACAATCTCCTGACACAACTTACCACAGCCCCTGATATTTTCTTCCTTTATGGAAGAATGTGAAAGGTAGGTGATTTTATACCCTCATTGTACTCAATAATACTTGTCATGTGGTGTCCTGTTCTGTCCTGTATTTGTGGTATTAAACACCCCGCTCCTATAACAGCAAGAATTTATCTAGAATTCCAAAAAAGTGTTATTTGTTCCCTCTGCAGGAAGAAAAAAGTAATAGTGTTCAAACTGTGATATCTGTCATGTTATAACATTCATACTTTCTGAAGAATTGGGAAATTTTAGATTCAAATTGGGAATTTGTACAGTCATTTGCTACAGGTTTGGGGCTGAATATGGGCCTCTGAGCAAGTCTACATAATCTTCAAATAGATGTACATGACAGTTCCTCTTTCCGATCAACCCCTTTACGATCATTAGGGTTAGGTACCCCTTTCCGAAACCCCTTTACGATCATTAGGGTTAGGTACCCCTTTCCGATCAAGCACCCCTTTACGATCATTAGGGTTAGGTACCCATTTCTTATCAAGCACCCCTATACGATCCTTAGGGTTAGGTATGTGGTAGGGCATGGGTTAGCTATCTCTTTTTTTATCCAAAGTCATTTATGGAAAATCCATACCATTTCTTTCAAGCTTCAAACGTCGCGATGTCTCTGACAACAAATGTAACTTGTGGTTGGTTACAATAAGCGCCCCCTATTGCCAAACTCCCGGTAGTGCTTACCACCACTGACATTTAGGTCTATGTTTATTTTTTTTGTTTCAATTGTCTTGCAACCATGGCAACATATGATACAAAGGATTCCAGAGAAAATCTTCATTTTCAGGAGGAATCTAGAGTTGTCATAGCTTTGTAGACTTGCTTGGTATATTTCCGATATTTCTTCTTCGGTGTCTGTAGAAGAGACAAGTGTTGTTGTTCCTGACAAACCAACATCTGAAGTGTTTCATCACATCATGTCCATATATCATGTCCCAGACTTGTTTATTTACTGCTGGGGTGATACTTGAATATTGCTGCAACTTTCATTCACTCACTCACACACATACCTATAACACTGGGATAGTGGAAGGTTGATGGTTCAATCCCCTGGTGGGACGGTAAAGGATGGTGCTTGTTGTTACCCTGCCTGGTGCTCGGCATTTAGGAGCAAAAACAAGTACTGGGCTACCACTATAAAATGGACTAGTATAAGCAGCCAGACACACATGCAGACGCAGGCAGACAGGCACGCACGCTCGCACGCACATGTATGCACAATGCTATCTAGATGCAATAATCTTGAATGTGACGTTAAATACAATCTCACCTCACCTCACCTCACCTCACCTCACCTCACCTCACCTCACCTCACCTCACCTCACCTCACCTCACTAGTAGAATTTGAACTGATTGTGTCACCAACATCTGAAAGTGTTTCAGCACTACATACCTGCCATGTCCATATACCCTCTCCATATACTCTGTCCATATACCCTCTCCATATACTCTGTCCATATACCCTGTCCCCGACTTTATTATTTATTGCCGTGGTGATGCTGGAATATTGCTGACTTCACTGTTTAACTTTCATTCACTCACACATATATAAGACTGCTTATAAGACTGGCAGAGAGGAAGGCCAATGGTTCAATCCCCTGGTGGCCGTGTCATTCCAAATGATGGTAAAGGATGGTACTTGTTGTTAGGGTGAGGGTTGGGGTTAGGGAAACCTAAACGATGGTTTGTGAAGCTGTGTTCAGTTGACCAAGACGTTGTTTGTGGTTGCTTTCTGTCTTGTTATGAGTCTGTGTGGTATGGTGGCGCAGTTGTTGTTGTTGTTGTTTTTTCAATTTAGCTGTGCAGAGTTGTGTCCCTTAGGCATGCCAGGGAGAGGAAAGTTGGTGGTTCTAAATAATCTTGTCTCTCTTTAAGACCCCAGATCATTTAAAACATTCCTCCCCATTCTGTTCCACCCCTCATCCCTTCTCAGCTCCATCTGATAGTACTCTTCCCTTTCTCAGCCTGTACGCTGTGATGTAACTGGAATACTGTTCACACACTGACCACGCCCGAACAGTGTAAACAAACCTAAGTATTCAACTACTGTATTTCCGACAAAAACACCTCCCTTTATTAAGAGTATTCATACATTATGCTCCATTCACTGACCAAGTTCTTTGTCTTTATTCCATTGCTGCTGTACAGGCCTGCCGACCCGATGTCACACAACCACAGCCCTCTCCCCCTCCTGGCTCCCACTCCCAAGGAAACAGTTCATTGTCTCATCTTTTTGTATCTTTGAAATCTCTTCTTTTTTCTAAACACGTAACCTTAAAGTTAATAACGTTGTCAGCTCTAGTCATTCGTGTTACAAGTTGATTGTATCCATGGTAACAGTACTGTACTTTTTCTAGTATTCTGAACGAGAAAAAATCACATATTAACACCTTATTTATAAATTTCCATTAAATTCAATTTGTAGTTTATTTCTATGATATGAGGACATTAATGTTTGCATAGTAATTATGGTTTATCTTGCTTCCTTTGGCTGTCAATCAGTTGTGTTCATTGTGTTGGACATTGTTGCAGACCCAGACCATCATCGCTGTGCATCCCCCGACATGATCTCTTGACACAGCCTTCTGACACAGCCTCCTGACACAACCTCCTGACACAGCCTTCTGACACAGCCTCCTGACACAGCCTCCTGACACAGCCTTCTGACACAGCCTCCTGACACAGCCTCCTGACACAGCCTCCTGACACAGCCTTCTGACACAGCCTCCTGACACAGCCTCCTGACACAAACTTCTGACACAACCTTCTGACACAACCTCCTCACAGCCCCTTGATATTCACCTCTAGATGGAAGATTGTTTAAGGTAGGGGATTGTTTACCATGGTAGCCACTGTATTCGCCTTAAAAGCACCCCACTCCAATATTTCATTTGCACCAATAGGTCCTATTTTCTTGTGTATATTGTACAGCAATGTATAACTATTATCAAACAAGATTTGATGTCATCAATGTCTGAACCAAGTCTCTTCTCTTCCTCTATATCTCTGACAACAGATTTAAGTTGTTGTGGCTGTTCCTTGGGCACTTATTACGGCGAATACGGTGCTAACATTTTGTCTCTGACATGAAAGTGTGTTCACATTTTTTGTTTGAATTGTCTTGTAATATGTCATACAAAGGAATCCATAGAATCTTGTCATTTTTCAGGAGAAATCTACTTTTGGCAAAACATTATAGACTTGCTTGGCACATTTTACATATTTTCATTTCAGTGCAGTGTCATACTAGCCCTGTCAAACCCGTCAAAGTATGAGTGGGCATGACTTGTTTCAGTACTACATGTCCCTATACCATGTATACCAATGTGTATATTGCTATATTAACCCGTTGCTGTTGGGGTTAACATAGCCTTGCTCCAAGTCTGTACTGAATGAGATAAGTCCATGTTTGTGTAGTCATTTTTTGCTTATAATAGGCAAGTCTAGATAAGCAGACAGTACTCTCAGGAACAACTTGTTCTTATTATTTTTATAATCTAGGAATTTTCATTTAAACTAATAATCATTTCCTTAGAAACACGTGTCAAGTCAGGGTTATCGGTATGTCTACACGGGTGATAATACCGTACATCATGTGATATAATGACCGGCACATAAAGGGTCTTGTTTATTTCCTGACTCCTGGAGTGTTTTAAGGTATTTTTGCCAATATGCCAAACACAAGACATTTTGTGCCCCAGATACATGATATGTGTTCTGATACTTTCACTTGATTTCTTCGAGGCCTGTATGTATAGTATGCTCCTTATCTATATCTATATGTATATCATATATGAACTGGTTCACCACTAGTCGTAACTCTGTCAACTTATGTCATGTAAGTCTCTTGACTCATGACTTTCTTATGAGGTGACTAGAGACATTCCACTTTGTTTTTTGTCATATCGTGTATGACATATTTCATCCCACAATAGCTTGACTGTCATATTGTGTATGACATATTTCCCCACACAATAACTTGACTGTCATATTGTGTATGACATATTTCCCGACACAATAGCTTGACTGTCATATTGTGTATGACATATTTCCCCCACAATAGCTTTACTGTCATATTGTGTATGACATATTTCACTATAGCTTGACTGTCCTATTGTGTATGACATATTTCCCCCCACAATAGCTTGACTGTGAACTATGAACTAATGATATAACATGCAACATACTTTGCACTAATCCACTGTGTTGTTGACAGTGATATGATAATAGCACAGTGGTCAAACTGCAAAGATGCTGCCAAGTATTTTATCTTGACTTTGAATCGTTCATCATATATGGTGTCGCTCTGGAAATGGTCTGTTTCAGCTCTTGAAACATGTCTGATTGTCTCTTATGGAAAAGAGCTTCCATAGGACATATCACTCGGAATCACGATATACCCAGTGGATAAATCACTGATTCATCCTAATTATGGTTCTTAGTTTGTCACTGGTTGTAATTAGGTGTTCAATATTCAGTGGTTGCATTCTGTAAGTAAACGTTCGCTGGTTGCATTCTGTATGTAGGGATTCACTAGTTGCAATCTGTAACGATTCTATGGCTACCTTATGTGTGTAAAGGTATACTGTTTGTTTTTCTATGTGTAACCTTATATTCCACATGTAAAGGGTTAATGCGTGTGTTCTGTGTTCAGGTGTCATGGATAGTATTCTGTAACAAGGTACTGATCATATTCTCTATGTAATGACTCACTGAAATTATGCCTCATGTATGTGTTCACTGGTTGTATTCTGCATGTAAAGGTTCAATGGTTGTATTAGGTATGTAAAGGCTCATTGGTTATATTCTGTATATAATATCTCATTGTTGGTAGTCTGTAAAAGCTCAATGGTTGTAATCTGTATATAAAGGCTCACTGGTTGTAATCTGTATATAAAGGCTCACTGGTTGTAATCTGTATGTAAAGGCTCAATGGTTGTAATCTGTATGTAAAGGCTCAATGGTTGTAATCTGTATGTAAAGGCTCACTGGTTGTAATCTGTTGATAAATGCGCAATGGTTGTAGTATGTATGGAAGGGCTCACTGGTTGTATTCTGTATGTAAAGGCTCACTGGTTGTAATCTGTATATAAAGGCTCACTGGTTGTAGTATGTATATAAAGGCTCACTGGTTGTAATCTGTATATAAAGGCTCACTGGTTGTAGTATGTATATGAAGGCTCACTGGTTGTAATCTGTATATAAAGGCTCAATGGTTGTAATCTGTATGTAAAGGCTCACTGGTTGTAATCTGTATATAAAGGCTCACTGGTTGTAATCTGTATATAAAGGCTCACTGGTTGTAATCTGTATATAAATGCTCACTGGTTGTAATCTGTATATAAAGGCTCACTGGTTGTAATCTGTATATAAAGGCTCACTGGTTGTAATCTGTATGTAAAGGCTCACTGGTTGTTATCTGTACATAAAGGCTTACTGGTTGTTATCTGTACATAAAGGCTCACTGGTTGTAATCTGTACATAAAGGCTCTCTGGTTGTATTCTGTACATAAAAGCTCACTGGTTGTAATCTGTACATAAAAGCTCACTGGTTGTAATCTGTACATACAGGTTCACTGGTTGTATTCTGTAAATAAAGTCTCACTGGTTGTATTCTGTATATAAAGGCTAACTGGTTGTAATCTGTACATAAAGGCTCACTGGTTGTATTCTGTATATAAAGGCTAACTGGTTGTAATCTGTACATAAAGGCTCACTGGTTGTATTCTGTATATAAAGGCTCACTGGTTGTATTCTGTATATAAAGGCTCACTGGTTGTATTCTGTATATAAAGGCTCACTGGTTGTAGTATGTATATAAAGGCTCACTGGTTGTAATCTGTATATAAAGGCTCACTGGTTGTAATCTGTATATAAAGGCTCACTGGTTGTATTCTGTATATAAAGGCTCACTGGTTGTATTCTGTATATAAAGGCTCACTGGTTGTATTCTGTACATAAAGGCTCACTGGTTGTAATCTGTACATAAAGGCTCACTGGTTGTAATCTGTACATAAAGGCTCACTGGTTGTAATCTGTACATACAGGTTCACTGGTTGTATTCTGTAAATAAAGTCTCACTGGTTGTATTCTGTATATAAAGGCTAACTGGTTGTAATCTGTACATAAAGGCTCACTGGTTGTATTCTGTATATAAAGGCTAACTGGTTGTAATCTGTACATAAAGGCTCACTGGTTGTATTCTGTATATAAAGGCTCACTGGTTGTATTCTGTATATAAAGGCTCACTGGTTGTATTCTGTATATAAAGGCTCACTGGTTGTAGTATGTATATAAAGGCTCACTGGTTGTAATCTGTATATAAAGGCTCACTGGTTGTAATCTGTATATAAAGGCTCACTGGTTGTATTCTGTATATAAAGGCTCACTGGTTGTATTCTGTATATAAAGGCTCACTGGTTGTATTCTGTATATAAAGGCTCACTGGTTGTAGTATGTATATAAAGGCTCACTGGTTGTAATCTGTATATAAAGGCTCACTGGTTGTAATCTGTATATAAAGGCTCACTGGTTGTATTCTGTATATAAAGGCTCACTGGTTGTATTCTGTATATAAAGGCTCACTGGTTGTATTCTGTACATAAAGGCTCACTGGTTGTAATCTGTATATAAAGGCTCACTGGTTGTATTCTGTACATAAAGGCTCACTGGTTGTAATCTGTATATAAAGGCTCACTGGTTGTAATCTGTACATAAAGTCTCAATGGTTGTATTCTGTACATAAAGGCTCACTGGTTGTATTCTGTATGTAAAGGCTCACTGGTTGTTATCTGTACATAAAGGCTTACTGGTTGTTATCTGTACATAAAGGCTCACTGGTTGTAATCTGTACATAAAGGCTCTCTGGTTGTATTCTGTACATAAAAGCTCACTGGTTGTAATCTGTACATAAAAGCTCACTGGTTGTAATCTGTACATACAGGTTCACTGGTTGTATTCTGTAAATAAAGTCTCACTGGTTGTATTCTGTATATAAAGGCTAACTGGTTGTAATCTGTACATAAAGGCTCACTGGTTGTATTCTGTATATAAAGGCTAACTGGTTGTAATCTGTACATAAAGGCTCACTGGTTGTATTCTGTATATAAAGGCTCACTGGTTGTATTCTGTATATAAAGGCTCACTGGTTGTATTCTGTATATAAAGGCTCACTGGTTGTAGTATGTATATAAAGGCTCACTGGTTGTAATCTGTATATAAAGGCTCACTGGTTGTAATCTGTATATAAAGGCTCACTGGTTGTATTCTGTATATAAAGGCTCACTGGTTGTATTCTGTATATAAAGGCTCACTGGTTGTATTCTGTACATAAAGGCTCACTGGTTGTAATCTGTACATAAAGGCTCACTGGTTGTAATCTGTACATAAAGGCTCACTGGTTGTAATCTGTACATACAGGTTCACTGGTTGTATTCTGTAAATAAAGTCTCACTGGTTGTATTCTGTATATAAAGGCTAACTGGTTGTAATCTGTACATAAAGGCTCACTGGTTGTATTCTGTATATAAAGGCTAACTGGTTGTAATCTGTACATAAAGGCTCACTGGTTGTATTCTGTATATAAAGGCTCACTGGTTGTATTCTGTATATAAAGGCTCACTGGTTGTATTCTGTATATAAAGGCTCACTGGTTGTAGTATGTATATAAAGGCTCACTGGTTGTAATCTGTATATAAAGGCTCACTGGTTGTAATCTGTATATAAAGGCTCACTGGTTGTATTCTGTATATAAAGGCTCACTGGTTGTATTCTGTATATAAAGGCTCACTGGTTGTATTCTGTATATAAAGGCTCACTGGTTGTAGTATGTATATAAAGGCTCACTGGTTGTATTCTGTATATAAAGGCTCACTGGTTGTAGTATGTATGTAAAGGCTCACTGGTTGTAATCTGTATATAAAGGCTCACTGGTCATAGTATGTATATAAAGGCTCACTGGTTGTATTCTGTATATAAAGGCTCACTGGTTGTAATCTGTATATAAAGGCTCACTGGTTGTAGTATGTATGTAAAGGCTCACTGGTTGTAATCTGTATATAAAGGCTCACTGGTCATAGTATGTATATAAAGGCTCACTGGTTGTATTCTGTATATAAAGGCTCACTGGTCATAGTATGTATATAAAGGCTCACTGGGTGTAATCTGTATGTAAAGGCTCACTGGTTGTAATCCGTATATAAAGGCTCACTGGTTGTAGTATGTATATAAAGGCTCACTGGTTGTAATCCGTATATAAAGGCTCACTGGTTGTAGTATGTATATAAAGGCTCACTGGTTGTATTCCGTATATAAAGGCTCACTGGTTGTAATCCGTATATAAAGGCTCACTGGGTGTAGTATGTATATAAAGGCTCACTGGTTGTAGTATGTATATAAAGGCTCACTGGTTGTATTCTGTATGTAAAGGCTCACTGGTTGTAATCTGTATATAAAGGCTCACTGGTTGTATTCTGTATATAAAGGCTAACTGGTTGTAATCTGTACATAAAGGCTCACTGGTTGTATTCTGTATATAAAGGCTCACTGGTTGTAATCTGTATATAAAGGCTCACTGGTTGTA